AATGGCTACTCGTACAGACACACCTTATTCATGACCTACACAACTGCTGGCGAACAGGTAAGTCTTTTGACAATGCCCTTTGCTTCAGGATGTGCCCGTTGGTAAAGAACTTGGACTCTTGACCTGCTTTTCACGTTTCTGAGCCCTGGCGAGATACCTTTTCAGGCTGCTTTACTTTTACATGGCCCACGTTGCTTAGTTACAAGGCCTGAGGCCTACATTGGGTGAAAAAGGCCCTTTCATAAGGGGGTAGCCCCTTAATTTATTTATTGTTTTCATCCCCTTCCACCAGGATTCAAACTCATGCTCCGTTTACTAACAGTCACATGTGTCTGCCGTTCGGTCACATTATGAGCTGAACTCACCGTTTCACCAAAGTTAAGCTTCACATTCCTGGTGGGAAAAAAAAAAAAAAAAAAGCTTTACATTCCTGGTGACCGAGATCCAGAGTACTATGGGGGAATAAGGAGAGGTTGAGCATTGGTAGATGCAGGCCCAAAAAAGGGGCCCACTTGCGGGTGCTTGGTTAACAGACCTCCTCCTCAATCTTTGGTGTTGGCAATGCTCTAACAACTGAAACTGGTTGTTGTTGTTTTTTTTTTTTTTTTTGGGGGGGGAATATTCAGGTTTTGTAGGGTTCTTATCATGACCATTGACCACCCCAAAAATGATCACAATTCCAAAATACCTTTGGTTAATCATCTCTCCAGGTGGAGATTGGCGGGTGTCTATTCTAACCGATGCTACCATACGTGCACGAAGTGGGCCCAAATCGGGCCCAAATCAGGCCCAAATCAGGCCCAAATCAGGCCCAAATCAGGCCCAAAGCGGGCCCAAATCAGGCCCAAAGCGGGGTCAAAGCGTTCCTCAACCAGGCCTGAACCATGTCTGCTTGTTTTGCAGGCTGCCAAGAGTGCATTGGACGACAAGGTCGAAAGTATGATTCAAGAGCTGGAACATACGAAGGACGAAGCTGGTCGACTTCACAGGTGAGAGTCTGGGAGGATGGAGGTAAGGTAGGTGACTGAACTTGCTGGTTAGTGCCGCGCGGCACCGAGTCTTTTGTCTTGCCATGGGCTATTGCCTTGTGCTGTGCGTATTTTTGCGGTAAATATGCACCCCATGGGTTGACCGCTGAGTGAGCACGCAGGCCCCACATCTCGTATGACCGCATAGACCATCAGAATAATAAATATTAATAAATGAAAAAAAGAATGGTAAAGAATAAGAGAGGAGGGAGGGTGCAGTGTGGATGATAATGAAAAGCTGAATGATGACAATGATGACAATGATGATGATGATGATGATGATGATGAGGAGGAGGAGGAGAAGGAGGAGAAGGAGGAGGAGGAGGAGGAGGAGGAGGGGGAGGAGGAGGAGGAGGAGGGTGAGGAGGAGGAAAGAGGAGGATTAGGAGGAGGAGGAGGGAGAGAAGGAAGAGAAGTAGGAGGATGAAAGGGGAAAATGTTGATTATGATGTTGCAGGTGATTATGCAGGAGGGTGGTGGAGGAGGAGGAGGGGGAGGAGGAGGAGGAGGGCGAGGAGGAAGAGGAGGAAGAGGAGAAGTAGGAGGAGGATGAAAGGGGAATAGGCAGAGGAGGATGTATGAGATGCTTGGTGAGGGGAGGCCTACTGAGGGCTGCAGCATCATGAGTATTATGACGAATGATTACATGAGCACCATGGAGTTCACACTAATTCCTGCATGTGAAGGTGGTTCTTGGCTTCAAGCCGTAATATGCCTATTTCCAAAGTTGTTAGTCGGATGAGGTCAAGGGCCCACATTTTTTCCAAAGCCTCTGGGGGGTTGAGGACTGATAACAACAAATTGGAGAGGGCTCGTGGGGGTCCTGGGACACCCAGCCATAGAGGCAGGCCTACAGATAATAGGCCCCCGCCTGACCTCTGAAATAGCTTGGTGCCCTGCACATGCTGTGGGCATACAGTGATGAGGATGTGCCAGCCAGTCAGATGTCGACAGGTGTCTTCGACTGGTTGGATATGGACTGATTGCCGGCTGCTGAATGTCTGATTCTACCATGTAAGAACACTGCTAGGAACTGTGGAGAAGAATCACAAGTAACAAGCACATCGTGTTCTAGTTGACAGGCATTGACTCTCCTGGAGGTGGGCTGGATATCACGACCGGAATGGATCCAGTTTTAATAACACCTCCAAGGGTTGTAGTGGTTACGAGACTTCGTTCATGAGGCTGAGGGTGCCGGTTCGAGGCCGTGCGTGCACGGCGGGGCCTGATGCCCTAAATACACGTTGTTCAGTAACTACTATTGACTCTGCGACAAGTCAAAAAGCATGAATGACAATGAAATGATCAAATATCCTCAAAGATAGTTACAACAAAGAACAAGTACGGCTCATGAAGAAATAACAAGTCCCTCTCCAGTCTATCGTCAAACAATGATAACAAGGTAGTGTGTGTGTGTGTGTGTGTGTGTGTGTGTGTGAGAGAGAGAGAGAGAGAGAGAGAGAGAGAGAGTGATAACAAGGTAGTGGAGGGCCCACATTTTTTCCAAAGCCTCTGGGGGGTTGAGGACTGATAACAACAAATTGGAGAGGCCTCGTGGGGGTCCTGGGACACCCAGCCATAGAGGCAGGCCTACAGATAATAGGCCCCCGCCTGACCTCTGAAATAGATTGGTGCCCTGCACATGCTGTGGGCATACAGTGATGAGGATGTTCCAGCCAGTCAGATGTCGACAGGTGTCTTCGACTGGTTGGATATGGACTGATTGCCGGCTGCTGAATGTCTGATTCTACCATGTAAGAACACTGCTAGGAACTGTGGAGAAGAATCACAAGTAACAAGCACATCGTGTTCTAGTTGACAGGCATTGACTCTCCTGGAGGTGGGCTGGATATCACGACCGGAATGGATCCAGTTTTAATAACACCTCCAAGGGTTGTAGTGGTTACGAGACTTCGTTCATGAGGCTGAGGGTGCCGGTTCGAGGCCGTGCGTGCACGGCGGGGCCTGATGCCCTAAATACACGTTGTTCAGTAACTACTATTGACTCTGCGACAAGTCAAAAAGCATGAATGACAATGAAATGATCAAATATCCTCAAAGATAGTTACAACAAAGAACAAGTACGGCTCATGAAGAAATAACAAGTCCCTCTCCAGTCTATCGTCAAACAATGATAACAAGGTAGTGTGTGTGTGTGTGTGTGTGTGTGTGAGAGAGAGAGAGAGAGAGAGAGAGAGAGAGAGAGAGAGAGAGAGAGAGAGAGAGAGAGATAGTGGAGAGACACACACACACACACACACACACACACACACACACACACACACACACACACAGAGAGAGAGAGAGAGAGAGAGAGAGAGAGAGATGCATTCATTTAGTTTGTGGATTAAAATTTAATAATCGGCGAGTGGCCACTTTGTGATGACAGCATAGGGCTAACCTAAAGTGTAGGCAAACGCTTACTACTTAGCAAATCAGGGACCTGAAGATGTCAGTCAGTCCTCTATTAGTGTCCAGTGAAGTTCTTGACGTTGAAAACGTTTGAATTATGCATCTGTGTGGTTGGGAAAATAGGGAGCTGATGGAGCTGAGAGAGGTCAACTCCAAATGTGTTGCCGAGCTACAGTCCCAGCATGCTTTGGCACTGGCTGAGGTTAAAGAGAAGGTAAGCGGCATACAAGTTATGCATGCTCCGCTTTGTGCACAAAAACAACCAGGGCTCTTCGTGAATGGTGAAACGAGTCCAACGACACTGCCAATATTAATTAATACAGTGATGATTTTCATCATGAACAACATGATTGTCATTATCTGTAGATGATATGTGTGGCTGAGGTGGTGGACCTTGCAGTGGTTCCATCAGGGAAATGGAACATGGCGAACCCATGGATTGGTCCTATGCTGTGTGGGACAACCTGGGCTCTTTTTGAAGCATGAAACAGAACTGTCAATATCAACACTTAATGCCACCCCCTGAACGTAATTCTCAGTATGGCATTCCCATTAATAGGACTTCGATACCATTATGACATTTTATGAGGTTGTTCTTCTGTAGATGATTTAAGATCCGGGTAATCTCACAAAATAACACTCGTATATATTGAGCTCGTACTGGGACTTCACAATTACAAAGTTTTTTCTACAGCCAAAGAATAAGCATGTTACTGTTTGGCAGAGGTGGGCACCGGGTGCCCACAGCCGCACCCACCTGCCTCACCCAACCCACAAGGTGATTGGGTTGGGCTCGGGTCTACCTATGCCTCCTTGGGTGGGTGAAGGGCGTGTGCAGCTAGTGGGCATTTCTGGGTCATGGGCTGGTCAATATTTGCTCTGGGTCACCCGTCGGGTGGGTGACAGGTGGGTGAAGCGTTGGCCTGGGTCACCTGACCCATAGACTCAGGACCACCCAAAAAAATCCCCCCCCTCCCCCTTGGGCCCTTGGCGCCTTTCAGCCCCCCTCCCCCACCAAAAATAAAACCGAACGAGGCCTTGGGTCCATCTGTGCCGTGCACAGGCTCGAGGTTGAGAGAGACGAAAAAAGCGGGCCTGCGTACAGTCACGCAGAGTGGCCTGTTATATTGGGGCAGAGAAAAAAAACAAAGAGCGTACTCCAGCAGTTCAGCCCCTTGCCCAGTTTTTCTCTAAAAAAAGGAGGGAGCGGTTCTAGCCACAGTAGGCGGCTAGATCCGTCCTCTTTGAACTTCGCCCTTGGTTAGCGAACTTGGCGAATTTGGAAGCCCGCCCCCAACTTACCTGGCCTTACCGCTGCGCGACGCCATGACGGAGTGACGCTGGAGAGGTGGCGACACCGGTGGGGGAGTCGTGGGCAGGGCTCCATCGACACGAGCGGGTGCGATGGCAAAAAAATAGGTCTTGGATGCAGGCGGGTAATGACGTTCTCACGGGTGCGGGTGGGTCCAGATGAGGACCTTTTTCGGGTGGTGGGTGGTCCAGGCATGGGGCTGAAGAAAAAGAAAAAAAAAACATTTTGTGTGAGCAGGGTTGTCTTGAGGTGGAAATTAAATTCTTGGGTCGGGCGGGTGGCACAAAAACAAAATTGGGCGGGTTGGGTCACGGGTGAGAGAAAAACAAAATGCCCACCTCTGCTGTTTGGGGGTACAGAAGAGGGTCATACTGAAACAGTTTTCACCTTTGGCAGTAGCCGATGCAGATCCCAGGGGTCGATCCCTTGACCTCAGCTTACCTGTGTACAGTATCTGCACAGTTCCCTGGAGTTGAACCCGTGACCTGCAC